GATGCTAAGGAATTTGGTGCCTTGTTTGGTGCAGTTTCTGAGCAGCGAGGACTGGGCAGCGAGGAAGGCTGCGGCGGAGGCGCTGGTGAAGTTGGCGGTGTTGGAGAGAGACGCGTTATCGGATTTCAAGGCCGGGTGCTTGAGAACCTTCGAGAATCGGAGATTCGATAAGGTAATCTGCTTGTGAGATCTTCTGAGAATGACTTCTCTTGTTTTTATATGTGGTTTGTTTTGTATTTTGAATTTAGTACTTTCAAAAAGAATTTAGAATTTAGAATTTGAAATTTTCCCTTTTCTTGAATTGGCATTATTATAGGTGAAGGTTGTGAGGGAGGTAATGAGTCAGATGTTGGAGGCTTGGAAGCAGATTCCAGATGTCTCCGGCGACGTTTCGCCGCCGCCTCACTCACAGGCTTCTTCAAAAGGTTTGATCATTGAGTAGCTGCATAATTTCCAAAATGCTTGAAATTTAAATCCAAATCAAACTCAATAGTTTTGTAGCGTTTGAGTTAAGTCTTTAATTTGAAGTTTTTAGCAGAACTATTCAATTATCAGTTATAAGTTCAGTTATTTCTTATAGATCTTGATTGCATCATCATTTATTTTGTTCCTAATACCTTTATCGCTATCTGGGTCCAATTGAATTGTTTAATCTTGTTCTTACGTGGATTGTCTTCAACCAATGTTCGTGAGTCATGTCATTTACTTTTTCCACCTGGATGTGTTTGTTTGTTATGATCACAGAGAATGCGAGCGACGGACGCTATCCGCCGGGGTCGAGAAACTCCGGTGCCGTTGGTTCCGAAGCTCTTCATTTGAGGAAGAAGTCCGGTGCCGTTGGTTCTGAAGCTCTTCATTTGAGGAAGAAATCCATCCTAGCAAGCAGGTCAACTCCACCAGATAGCTCATATGCCACCACTGCTAGGAAGAGAACTCCTCATAAAGGTAGTGACAAGAAAGCGAGCCCATCAATGTTTCAAAAGAAGAAGCCTTTGAACTGGAAGGTTGAGATAGCTGTTCCGAACGCTGCTTCCCAGAAAAAGGTTCTTGAGGATGATTATGACGAAAGAGACGAAAATGATCCAAAGAGAAGGATAAATGAGAAAGCTAACCTATCAAAACCAGAAACGAAAAGGGCACTGTTCCATAAAAATTCTGAGGACAAGGGGCACAAGTTTGGTGGATTCAGGTCTGGATCCCGTGTGGTTCCATATCAAGAGGAGAGCAAAAATTCTACAGTCCTGGTCAGCAATGTTTCTGAGGATATCCATAAGAACCATATTGAATGTGAAGATTTGTCTTCCATTCGCCATCAACTTGTTCAGATCGAAAAGCAGCAATCCAGTCTATTAGATCTTCTACAGGTTTCTTTCTACTGCTATAAATTTTGCTTTCATTTCTTTCTTTATTATCTCTAGTTCTATTGCTGTTATGATGCATTTGAAAATTTGTCTTTCTTGGCCATTTTGGTTGTTGTTTTGTTTTTGTTTCATTTTGTTTCATTTTATTTTATTTTATTTTTTTTTGGGGTGGGGGGGATTACGGGTACCAAACAGAGGCAGACATCAGGCATGGTCCCTCTTTAGTAGTTATAACTACCAACTTATGAAGAAGAACAGCATTAGACAAATACTGTGTGGGAAGTCTTATTTTAGTCAAATAAATGAAATGAAGCTTGCATTGCATGTACTTATTCTAGAGCTGATTTTCACGTCTTCTTTTGATATTTACCTACATTATTATTTTAATGGCATGTAATCTTAAAAACAAACTATTCTGGTTGACATGCTTTCTTACATTATTATTTTAATGAGGCTTTCCTTTTCACTCTTTTGCTTCTTGCTTTTAGAGGTTCATTGGGAGCTCGCAGAATGGAATGCGTTCCTTGGAGACCCGTGTGCATGGACTGGAATTAGCACTGGATGAGATCTCTTATGATCTGGCTGTGTCAACTGGAAGGATGTCAAAAACGGACTCCTCCAGAACAACATGTTGTATGCTCCCTGGTGCAGATTTCTTAAGCTCCAAGTTTTGGAGAAAAACAGAAGGCAGGTTGTCAGCACCAAGGATTTCCACTTCAAGTGGCACCCCCTCGGTTGCAGCCATGCGCTACAGAGATGATGCAAATGGCAGTGCTGAAAGGTTTAAGTTAAACCGCCGGTTTCGGCTGCAAGGTGGTGGGTTTATTGTGAACCCACTAGCGGAGATTCAAAGCGATTCAAGGGGTAATACAGAGGTGGTACATCAGTAGCAAATGAATTAGAACTGGGAGGTATTTTTCAATTTTTTCAAGCTTGTATTTACCTATTTTTCTCAAATCTTTTTTGTCTTCAAATGTTTGCGTGATTTACAAGTAATTGCAACTCTGTTGCTGACTTCAATTATTAGGTGATTAGTTATAGAGTATGATAGACCTCCTTGTATAATGGGAAGAGACCAGGATACATTATTCACGATACCATTAACTTAATGGGAATGGGGTGGTTCACCTGCTAGCTTACGCTTTGTTTGGTCTAGAAGTTGATTGGTGGGGACTGATGTCATTCCTCGCTTTGTTGGCAACTCTGTTTTGGCCGATTTGGCTAATTAATAAAATTCATCTTTACTTAAACAAAAATGTTTTACTGAGGAATCGAAACATTTTATCAATTCGTTTAGGTTATGCATTCTAAAACTGGATTCAACGGGATTGTCGAGTACGTTTATGTGCATTGTGTCTGGTTTCTTTGACGTTGGTTCTATTCTATGTTACCACATTCCTAACTCTAGCCTTGTACTTGCCGTGAGAGAGTTATAGACTATGATAGACCTCCTTGTATAATGGGAAGAGACCAGGATACGATACCATTAACTTAATGGGAATGATGTCATTCCTCGCTTTGTTGGCAATTCTGTTTTGGCCGATTTGGCTAATTAATAAAATTCATCTTTCCTTCAACAAAAATGTTTTACTGAGGAATCGAAACATTTTATCAATTCGTTTGGGTTATGCATTCTAAAACTGGATTCAACGGGATTGTCGAGTACCTTTATGTGCATTGTGTCTGGTTTCTTTGACGTTGGTTCTATTCTATGTTACCACATTCCTAACTCTAGCCTTGTACTTGCCGTGAGAGAATATTCTTTAAAATTTTAGGTTGAGATCTGTTTCCCTAGCTTAACACTCTGATGTGAAGTTTCTCTTCCTGCAGTTGCTATTAACTTATCTGGGATACAGCTTGTTATGATGTTTGAATTTGAAGACAAACCTGAAATGGAGCTAATTAACCATCAAATGGTCGAGTCAAGATCAAGGTTGTGTGTCTACAATATATACCTAGGCTTTCAACGAAGAAATGCGTCGACTAAAAATACATCAAGGAAGCATTGTTTTTCAGTATTAATCGGAGAAGTTTATCGTGCATTTGGAATGTCGAAAGTGGGCAATATCTATTCAGTTTATTCGCCCAAGTGCAGCTTTCCTGGCTCTATTATGATTCTTTCTATCAAGATTCAAAACTGCCGAGTTGAAAAAACTCACTTTACCATCTAATGCCACTATCTTCATACAGAGGGTGAAATGTATAGAGGATTAGGGATTTTCTTTTCTTTCTTTAATTTGGAGTCATTTTGTATCTTTTTTATCGGTTGGCCATACTAATGAAAATCGATGAATACGATGATGATGGTGGTGATTAATATTTTTGGTCCGAGGATTACACAATTTCGAACCAGGAAATATAGATCACATGAAGGAAGTAAGATTTGACAGCTCAATTCATCAAGAGATATTTACGTTTATTTCCATGGAAAGTGAATCTGGATCGTCTTTTGCCAGAACCCAAAAAACCCTCATCATTTATTGCCACAGTTCACAGAAAGAAAATAAAGTATGCAGACTAATTTGCCCTTCTCTTCACATTTGTTCTCTCGCTCTTTTTTCTCTCTATGCACCAGGCTGCTACTCTTTCTTCTCTCTTGCTCTTCTCCATCTGTCGGCACTCTTTCTTCTCACTGCCGTCAAAGTATGAACGCCGCCGAGTACGAAGATATGCAGAGGCCCTAACTGTTGAAATCCTTGGGCATCTCCGGTGCGAGATCGCAGCCAGATCCGTCGTGATACCTCCACATCCGCGAGATTTCGTTGATGACGGATCGAAGACGAATGATGCAGGGCTCTTCAGAGATCGAAGATCCACCGCCGCCATCCTCATTCATCTATGACCTTCTGACGGCCGTCCAACGATGTTGTGAAGCCGGATTTGTGATGACAAACGCATTCAAATCTGTGGCGAACGCAACCAGATCTGCAACATTTTTTTGTTTTTCTAATTTTTTGTGTTTTAGATTCTTGTTATTAGATATTTTTCATATTTTTGTAGATTTTGAACAGACTTTTTGTGATTTTTTTCCATGAGAAAAGATTGTTAGATTTTTATATGTATTATTTGCGAGTTTGTGAATTTTTATTGTTGTTGTTTTGTATTTTGTTATTTTTTTTTAGTGGAATTTGCGAATTTTTTATTTCTAGTATTCCGCGATAAGATGGCCTTGTTGTTCACAGTGGTTGTTGGCTGGCATACTATCGATCGCCGACTAGGATACACTGTTGAATATCAGTCGGTGGCCGGTATTTGTTTGGATACCGGAATACATTCTGTGATTTGGTATTCAAAATATATAGTGTGATGACGACGTAGCTGTGGTATTCTCTGCCAGAGTTTGTCTTCTAGCATGTGTCAATCCAAACCTAAAACCTGTGGTAGTTCCCTTTAAAGCCTATTTATCAAGAGAGGTGATGTAAGGAGTTCTAGATATAAGTAGTTATTTTTATATTTTATTATTGTTTGTTCTAACTTTTTAATTTAGCTTTATTTAAGGATGACAACGAGCAAGGTCGGGAGTAAAGAATGACTTTGCATCCCTATTTCCGCAAAACTATCCTCATCCCCGCTTAAGGAGAGGCAGTGGCAGGACGGGATCACAAATTCTATATTGGGAGGATCATCTCCATACTCGCCGCATTCTCCGTCAAATAGAACTATACATTTAACAATTATTGCATTTTAAAATAAAATTTGTGTAGAAATTCATTATAAATTTAAACTAAAATTAAAGATTTCACAATACAAATTAAATTCTAAACATATGCAAATTAAATCTTAATAGTAGAGCCATAGAAGGGACATAGTTACCTTTTTTCCCCTTTTTTAAAGTAAAAAGTCATTTTTAAAAAATTATATATGTATATATTTACATAATACATATATATATATATATATATATAAAAGATGTATATTGGGGCGGAGAGGGGGGGGAGTGCTTCTCCCTTTATCGTCTATGTCGATGCTAAGGCTCGGGGACTAAATATTATCCCCATCTTTGATAATTGTCCTCCATCCTTATTCCGTTCAAGACGGAGTCCCGTTCCTGTTAGGAATATTGTCATCTCTAATTTTATTTTATTATTAGTTTATCGTTTGTTTTAGAGATGCTTTATTATCATTTTGTAAGTAGATTATAAATAGTCACTTTAACTATCTTAATATAGAGACTTAAATATTTGAGAATTGAATACTAGAGTTGTGTTTTCTCTCTAATTTGGGGATTTCCCCCTTGTGGAGTTCTTTTAAATAGATTTGGGAGAGAGTTTTCTCTCTAATTTGGGGATTTTCCCCTTGTGGAGTTCTTTTAAATAGATTTGGAATTTTTTCTCCCGTCTTCTGTCCGAGTTAGACTAATAAAATCTTTTCCTATCTACTCCGCTACATCAAGGAGTTTAGGTTTCAAATGTCCCAACCATAAGCGGTAAGAAATGTGAAATCATCACATGACGCAACAAATAGCTAAGATATTTATGTCATCACAGTTGGTGGACAATAACATGTTAGTGTCTCTGCTTATATTTTTGCTACATCAAAACCTTTAGCGCCATGCACAAAAGTGAGTTGGCAAAAAAAAAACGTGTCATCTCGATCATAAAGGGCCAAAACTGTGGCAAATACCCGACGAAATCCTTTTCTTTGGAAACAAAACGAAAAAGATGCAAAACAATACCCAACCTCGTCCTCAAATGTAAATAACGACAGAAATTTTTCTTCAAACTGCCACACAAGTACTTGGACAAAACTAAGAGGATGTTTAGTACCTAGATTCATTCCCTGATTCGAATCATGGTTCGTGGTTCACTATAGTATTTTCTCTCACAAAAAATACACGTAAATCAAAAATAATTCTAATCACATGGTTCTAATCCATGAACCAAACGTCTCCTAACATTTTCACATAAATAAGTAAACGACAAATTTATGAAATGCTTTCACGCGTGTGCTCTCTGATAAACTCAAATTTTGACTAAATCACGTTCCCAAGCATAACCAACACAAGGTTTAATATCCAAATTCCAAACAGAAAGATCTCAGGAGATCTGAAAAAATTGAAACGAGTATACCAAGGCCTATAAACCTAACATCTAATTCATACCGTTACAGATAAGAATAAATGTTGAAAGATGGAATAATCTAGGATGCCATACAGAAGTAGAGACTCAATGGTCATGGTGTTTGCTCATTAGAACCCTGCTCGTTGATTTTCTGCAGAGGAATTAAGCCAAAAAAAAAAATACCATTAGAGAGCTAACAAAGACATTTCTTTACTTCTTTTTATAAGGCTAACACAAACAATTAACATTATCAAATAGAGAAAATCCCATGAGCTACCAAGATGAAATTAATGTGGTCGAAAAACAACAACATAAATCGAGCAAAGTACGCAAAGCAACTTTTATAATTTCTTAAGACGAAGAAGCTCGGAGAAAAACAATTCACACAATTCCAACACTAATGACTTTGGTAACACCGCCCAGTAAAATAGCTTAACTGCACTGGATGTAATGTGATGTAATCACAAAGGCTTCAAACACTGCAACAAAAGGATGATTCCGAAGATAACGAATTCACTTGTTAAAACCCGAAAACTATGTTTCCTTCTTCCCTAATAAGTTCGTTGTTTACCATCTCATATTGATCTTTCCTATAGGGCAGGTAACATGCAATCAAGACCGTAGTAACATACACATGATGCAAACAGCTGTAGGATCAAAGACAAACATAAATGGACCACAAACTAATTTCATACACACTTCTTAATCTGATAAAACTCTGATCTAACAAGCTCAATCGAATGAAAAGAACGACCTTTATTGCAGAAATCTCACTGATACAAGCAACTAAGAACCCTAGCTGACATAGTATTGGAGAGACTATCTAATTCTCCCAATTTCGGTTTCCCAGGAGTTCTTTTACAAATGACGTGATAAGAAAGCTTTGTTAGTAATATAATTTTCCAAAAATTATCATTTGCAAAATGACTTCAGAACGACCCTGAGTAAAAATTAAAGGAAGTCATTTTGCTAATTTCACTTTGTCGGATACCCGACTTAGCAAATTCTTCGCAGAAAATGATTAACGATTAAATGACCCTCATTAGATGCTAATCTATCTACATATACAGCTGATATATGTCTACCAACTCTTTAACTAACTAAAACAGAACCTCTAACCACCATTAACAGCAAGTACCAGCCACAACTAACGAGGCCCATCATAATATTCTCTCTTCTTTTCTTGGTTCTCAAAGAATTACCAATTGACCATATCTAATCTAAAGTAGAACAAGTCCAATACACATAATCTAACTCTTTGCAAATCAAGTGCAAGACTAGTGCGCCTATGACCAAAATAACAAATCTTTGAGGAAAATTTCTAATAAGGTAAAGAAAAGGGGGTCAAAAGAAAAATTTGAATCTCGACTACGACCGTAGAAATTAGCAAGAACAATCAAAGAAAGAAAATCACAGATCTTATCCCCCAAAAGAAGTACTTTATACTTTCGATTAGAAGATGCGAAATCGCAGAGAGAGAGAGAGAAAGAGAGAGAGAGAGAGTACAGATTGAGAATTGTGCCACGAAAGGCCTCTGTAGACATTGACGGAGAAGGTGGCGGTGAGGTATACGGTGGTGACGCCGAGGCCTGCCGTGAAGGCCTTGAATGCCCAATCCCCTACTTTGCTCGCTATTCCCATCTCCCTCTCTCTCTCTCTCTCTCTCTCTCTAAACCATCTTTCTTTCAAACCCTCGAGGTTTTTTTATATTTGTATATCATTTTGCAATTTTAAACTTTGCTGTCGTCGAATAGAAAGGATGTCGTTTTCCTTGATGATTTCGCTTAATTGCTTATGCTTCGTAAAAACGAATAACAAGGCGACATGTCCTTGTCGTTCTAAACAATAAGAATAAAACGATGTCGTTTTTCGTGTAGTGATTCCTGTAGTGTCTTTCATTCGACACATGTCGTATATTCTTCTAAATTTTCTTGTCGCTCGAAGTAAAAGCGTCATAATGGAATGGAAGTATGGAACCTTGCTTTCAGTAAAAAAAAACGACACATCAGTTCATAATAAAAAATGGAAAATTGTTCACTCAGAAAAAGTTTGCCTTTGTTAAGTTGCACAATTGACCATACCGTTTCCCCGGTCAAAATTTCGCTTCCTAAACACTCATTTTAAAATAATTTTATTTTGTATAAAAATAAAAATAAAAATAAAAATAAAAATATTTTTAATTTCAAATAAAAATTATTTTTAAAAATACGTTTAGTAATTTTATCAAGAAATTATTTTAAATATAAAAAATCCATTAATGTCTTTCTTTCTCTCTCTCTACTCGAGAAAGGAGAAAACAAAAACAAAAAATAAAAAATAACTAAAAGTTATTTTTCATTTCTCTCTCATTTTATATTAAATTAAAAAATCATTTTCATTTCTGTTTTTTATCTTTATTGTGTCAAATACCGTTTTAAAAATATTTTCATTTTTTCTTTTTAAAAAACAAAAAAAATAAAATGAGATTAATTCTAAATACGGCCGTATTGTTTGCATTTCAATTTTTCATCGTCACCTTGTGAAAAAAGACAGCTATTTGAACTTCATTCACCCAAAAAAAAAAAAAACAACGCATTTGAACTTTATCGTCGTATAATTAGAAAATTTTGTCATTTTTCATACAAAGTCTGGTGTCGTTTGTGTCTGAAAACAACAAGGGCCCATTTTGGAAAGTGAATTCAAAAATTCAAATTTTGTGTTAAAACACTATTTAAACCCAAACCAATGTGGTTTGAACTCATCCTCTAAATACGCCTTAATTTTTGTAGTTTCACAATTTGCTGTCATTTGTAATTATGAGGTGCTCTCCCTCTCACCTAAATCTCATCATTCCCAAGCTTCTTTGATTGATTGGTTCATATGTTTCAATAGAAATTTATATTTAATTTTCATTAAAGAAAACATTGTGGGAAAAAAGTTTGATTTTCGTTAAAGAAAATCCAAAAACAGTTTGAAGAGAAATTTGAATTATAGTTTAAACCTTGTCGTTTTCAATTCAAAGGTTTGAATTTGTTCTCTGTTTTGGGATGATTTTGCAAGGCCATAAAAGGTAAAAGGAAATCTTACTCCGTCACATCCCTTTGGTTTTGGTAATGAAATTGAGAAAAAAATATTTCTAAAAATAAATGGAGAGCAGAAACTGCGGGTTGTGGTAATGAATGGAACACCTCGGTAGATCTCCACAAGAAGTGAATAATAATCATATACTTCGTATAGTGCAATATCCAAGAATGAAAAATGCTAAATAAAACTTAAGTGTCTTTTTACTCTTGTTTTGAGAAAGAGAAAAATTAGGAAATACAATAATTGTAGTAAATAACATACAAAATAAGTTACTATGGATCCACAGCTACTCTTCAATAATGCAGCTAATCTTGTTCATCAAGGTTTCCCGGCCAAAATGTCTGGTTTTCTTTTTCTCTTATAAAAACTTCCTTACCGTTTTGTATTGGCAAAGTATGGGATAGATCTTCATTCTCTACTACCACCACTTCTTCTCTGACAAAGAAATGAGCTGTGCAAGACACAATATGCAGAGGTGATGTTAGTGATTCAACAGACAATAATTCTGACTTAATCACATTACAGCTAATCATCCATCACAAAACCGCACCATTATCGTGCTAAGACACGGTATGAACACAAATGTAATTGCAGTCCACGAGCGGATTATGCTTAATAGATTCTTACTAATAATTCAAGCCCTATCATAAATAAAATAAAAAATAAAAAAATCACTTTCACCTCAAAAAGGAAAAAAAAAAAAAAAAAAAAAAAAAAAAAAACCAAAAACAAAAAGAAAAAAACTAAACAAACAAACAAGGAAGTGACGCTCTGAGCACTCTCCTCTTCAACGCTAATTCCAAACTCCTCCTCAAGTCCCATAACAATCTCAACTGTATCAAGAGAATCAGCCCCAAGTTCCGAAAATTTTTGACTCCCCAGAAACTTTAGAGTCATCTGGAAGTGCCAATTGTTTCTTCACTATGCTAATCACCCTGTTCACCGTTTCTGCCTTGGCAGCACAGGTAATGGTGTTGAGCTGAATGATAGCGAGCTTCTTCCGTATGCATTTAGAGAAACCGACCTCGAGCCATAGATACTGGATGTGGCCAAGCTCAGATGCAATTGCGGGGTGCGAGATTGGAGGGAGATTAAAGCTCCTGTGACAGACGCCGTTGGTGGATTCACGGAGCTCTGAAGAGAATGAAAGTGTAGAGAAAGAAAAGAAGAGAGAGAGAGAGAGAGCACGAGGCGAGTGACAAAGGCAGGCAGGCAGGTCATCTTCATAGAAGTTTTTATACATCAAGATAACAACAAAAGTTTTAAAGTAAATAGGTGCATGATGATATGTAAGAACATGCATTGGAGCACAAATCACATTTCCAGAGCAGTTTGTTTAAGCATAAATATGTATATGAATTTGAAAATAAGAGTAAGCTTGGTATAGAGTTTGAAACCCGTAAGCACAAGTAAATAACAAAAAAGCTTTTTTCACCGATTCGAGTTTAAAATTCGAGTTTTGCTACAGTAAAAAGCTCTAAAAAAGAGTTATATCTAACTTTTTTACTACAGTAAAAAACTCTCACATAAAGTCACATCTTATGGCAAATACTTCCTGCTGAATGTTCAACGATCAACCACTAACTTTAAAATTCAAATTTCCTAGTTCTAATCATCATATAAAGGCTACGGATAGGACAAACTATACCACATGCAAATATAATTCACTCACAGGAACACAAAAAGATATACCAACCTGACGAGCGACTTGTGCTAGCCGCCGACTGTCTCGTGACGATTCGGTTAACATGCTGGAGTTCTGTGGCTCCAAAGAACCGTTCTGTTTCTCCCCCATCTTTCTTTTCAAAATGCTAGTGTCTTCAGAACTGCTCAAAGGCTCTTTCTTGCGCTTTCTACAAAATGTGTACTTTAGAAACCTGTTATTACTCGCAGGTTGGACAGCAGTCCCATCATCTATATCAGATACTTTTGCCTCCAATCTGCATTCTGATTCATTAGCTTCCTTGACATCCGTTTTGCGAGCTGGAACCCCCAACTCCGCCACTAAACTTTCCTGTCCTGTCAAATCTGATTTGTTAAGAGATGCCTTATCATCATTAGTTGCCTTCTTAAGACTACAAGGTTTAATTAAGTCCACACGACTCCCAGTAGCACTTGCAGATCCTGACTGTGTGCCCATTTCAATTCTATCCAAGGGTAATTTTGGAGATGAAGGTGAATGAGGGTCTTTTAAAACTCCATCCGTGGTTTGCTTGGAACAATTTTCTGACTGATTTTGATTATCAATTGTAAGAGGAGTCGTGCTAGAGCAAGAAAGACCAGGCACCTCTTGCAAAATGCCTATGACCTGATGACAAGGACGATACATGGCTGAGGGAGCTTTATTTCTTTTATATCTAGCCCCTCTTTTCCTCTTCCTCCGGAACGACTTAAAGGCAATGTCTAGGACATGGCTATAATCGCTTTGGCTCACTTCGAGCTTATCATGATTTTCCTGTGGCTCAGCGTTTGCAGCCTTTGAGGTGCTGTTTACATGTGCCCTTTCACTTTCATCTCTTCTTCCAATGAATGTTCCGTTCTTTGCATCATCAACTAGTTCAGAAATAGACAAACCTCCATCTAATGAGTTTCTTTCGAATGCACGAATTCTCTGAGTGCACCCATTCCTGTACAACTCAGGCTCTTTCCTACTCATCACTAAAGAGGCAAAACCAGGGTTATCACTGTGGCACTGATTCTTTTGAGAAGCACTGGGACCGTAACATTTGCTACCTTCCAATTTTCCCTTTAAAATTGAGTTCCTACCAGAATTTGCTGAGGGCTCTAGTTTTGAGCTAGGGTCAGAAAATGTCGACCCAGGACTGTGGACTCCATTTTCAAGAGTAGTGGCTTCCCTAAAATTTTGCTCATGCAAAGCTTGTGTTTGGTCATTTCTTGCAGAAGGTCCATTTTCTTGTGTGGTAACATCACGTTCAAAATTTTTCTTATCCAATGCCTGGATTTGATTGTTTCTTGCCTTCTCCAACTGAGCCTGCACTTCACTTAATTCTGCCCTCAGATCTCTCACTATATCCTCAGCTTCCTGGAGCTGTGCTTCAAGCTCTTCGATCTTTCTCTGCTGACTCAAAGATGCGGTCTCCGCTTCATTAACCTGTTATATGTTGTTAACTAGTAAGTACTTAACAGAATTCAATCCAATGCAGTGTTTACGCGTGAGGGAGAAAGAAAGCAGGATGAAGACACGACAAAAAAAAATGATCTCCATCATATATGTAGATTGCTCGGTCTTTATATAACACATTACTTTCTCTCCTATTTTAAGACGAGATGAAAAAAGCAAATAAAAATAAAAAAGGCATATAGCCTAGGTAAGGAAAATGGAGAGGAAAGAGATGGCCTTTATCTTATTGTGGTTGGCATGAATTCTAAACTCTAATTTTCTTTCCCGTTTACCAAAAGTTGCCTTAACATTGAGATATTTTCAAGGATTTGAAATAACAACCGCGGATACCAAAATCCTTCCCCTAATCCCCTCACCCCTCTCCCTCCTCCCACTTTTCCCTCCTACCAAACAAGCTCTAAAGGAAGCACAGCTATCCACAACACTCTCTCAATACAAAGCAAAATGAACTAGAAAAGCAATCACTGCCATTACTCAAACATTTTTAAACCAGAAAAACCAAACACATCATCATCACCAATCAACAATTTACAAGACCCCACTTTAGAAAACACAACTATACACAACACAACATCAAAAAAGTATAAAATAATATATATCCCATTTGAGGGAAATACATTGTACCTTAGAATCCATCATCTGTTTAAGCCTAAGAAGCATTTGAAGCGCGTCTTCTTTAGTGGAGAAAAGCTCTCGCTGAAACCGGAGAGCCTTCCGCTCCGACGACAAAATACGCGCCGCCGCCTCCTTCGCCGTGTTGAGGATGACATCGGCATATGCCCTCTTCAAAGCCGTCAATTTCTTCACCCAAAAAAAAATCAAAAATCAAAAATCAAACCAAAAAAAAACCCAAAAACAGCAGAGAAAACCAGAAAAACAGGAACAAAAACAAGATCAAAAATCATTTTCCATTTCACACCCATCTTTCTTCACCGACCGTTCTTATTTGAACAAAAAAAAAAGGGAAAAAAAAGTTATGTCGTTAACTGTGAAAGTTGCGGTAGTAGGTTAGATTCCAGACGAAGAAAATGAAAATGAAAATAAAAAATAAAAAAATAAAGTTTATTCTTACCTCTGAATCTTCCATTTTCAGTAATCCATAAAAAATAAAAATAAATAAAATCCAAAGCCTGAGAAGTGAAGAAGAAGAAGATGATGATGAAGAAGAAAGGAGAGGTTTTTCGGTTCAGAGCAGCTGTTTGTCTGTCTGTTAGGAACTGAAAGAGAGTTTTGCCTTCCGACTTTTTATATTACCGAATTTGCCCTCGGTTCTTTGGTCTTATTATGGTTCTGCCACTTCGGTGCAGTTTTTTCGTTTTCCCTCCCAAGTCCTAACTCACTCTTCTTCAAGTCTTTTCCAAGTGCGTCTCGAGGCCTCGCGGCCCACAACGACCGCGCACGCCGTGGCGTGTGGGTCCCTGCTCTGTGGGGAACAGCCGGGTCCACTGGGGAGACACGTGGTAAACGAACACGTGGCAGGGTGCATGTAGTGGTGGGGGAAGAAGGGTGCTTTGGGAAACGTGGGGAGTAGTGACAGTTGGGCGGTGGTGATTGAGTTAACAGAAAAGCGTATGTTCTCGTATAAATCTTTACGTTTTGTTTTTTTGAAAGGCGTTTTTTTTTTTTTTTTCTTTTTACGGTTTAAGTTACAATTTAAATTATATTATTATAATATTTTTTTTATAAAAATTTAAATTTAATTTTTTTATTATAGTATTTTTTATTCAAATACACAATTTAAGTTTTTAATTTAAGTTGTAAAATAAAAATATTTTTAGTTTTTAATCTCTTACAAATTTATATCTTTTCACAGTTAACTATCAATTTTAATTTTAAAAATACTTGAATAGAAAATAATAAATGAAAAAAACCTAAAAAAAATTAAACTTACAATTTTGACGTTAAAAATATGTAAAATGCTCTTTAAAAGTTTTTTTTTATTTTTTATAATATTGAAAAGTTTTAATTTTTTTTTTCTTCGTAAAGATTGTTTGAAAAGTAATTATTAATCCAAATAATGTATAAATTTGTATTTTAAATCTAGCCACACTAATTAACGCCTCGTTCGTTTCGCTGATTCGAGTTTAAAATTTGAGTTTTGCTACAGTAAAAAGCTCTCATAAACAATCACATCTAACTTTTTTGCTACAGTAAAAAACTCTCACATACAATCACATCTCAACTCGAATTAGCGAAACGAACGAGGCCACCACACTTGTGTTTAGGTTAAGTGATTAGCATCCATCAAGATTCGAATCCTGAAACTTTTATTTCAAGCATTATATGTCAGTTCTAGTTTTAGAGTTTTTTTTTTTTTCAAATTGCTTTTTAAATTTTGATTTTTTTCAATTTTAATCTCGCATAATGTTTTTGAAGTTATTAGAGATAATCACATTATTATTGCGTGATAATTAAAATAGTTACATTTAAAGAAAATAGTTACATAAAGGGTCATAAAAAAACCTTCAAAAAAAAGGTCATAAAAAATTACATTAAATACAAAACATCCTAGATTATAAGAATTTATAACAAGAAGTGAAAGAGAATATTTTGAATTCATTATAACTATTTTTCAATTAATATGCAATCTGATGAAAACGATTATGTCTATTAAATCTCAAAAATTTCTCGGTCAATTATAACACTAATGATTAAAACTGACAAAAATGCTCAAAATTTAAAGTATTTTGTCACAGAAAAAAAAACTTTAGAATTAAAGTGATACATTATGATAGTTTAGATACTCAGGGTGTGTTTGGTAGATGGATTCAAAATTATGATTATGAATTCTAATTCAGAATTAGTATTTGTTTACCGTGATTCAAAATCAGTGTTTAGTTTGAATGATTATGAATCATGAATTTGATGTAATGTTTTAAATTAGTTCAAATCATGATTCTAAAATCACCTCATTTTAATTCAAGTTGATTCAAATCTCTAATTATAAATCATAGTTTCAAAATTATGATTTAAACATAAAATCATAAATCATAATTTTAATTCTAAAATTATAATTAAAATTATCCTAATTTAAATCACCGTATCAAATGAATTCTGAGATATCCGTAGATAAATATCCTTTTTTTTTTCTCTGGGGGAAATATATTTTTCATTTGTGGTGAAATTCTGAAAACCGTTTTCTAGAATCTAATAATTGACTCTCCATGATTGGAGTCGTCAACGTCTATAGTTTATTTACCCCGTAAACGAAAAAGGTATTCTACTTCCAATTGTTTGTATTATTCCCGTGGCCCGTACTCCGTGATTTAACCGCACCCTACTTTAACTTTTCCTTTTAATGTAGGGAGCCTGGACTCTTTAAAAAAATTTATGGGTAGAACGTCTTATTTTGATTTAAATTAAATTTTTAATAGTTAAATTTGTATAAATTTATATTAAAAATTTATAGTGCGTCTCACAGAATTATTTTATTTACATATTTAATCATTAAAAAAGTAATTCAACAATCAAAATAAAGTAAAATATTGATATATTTTTTAAGAAGTCTCACCGTAAAAAAAAAACCTTTTAACTTATACAAACTTTAATTGAGCTTATTTTAAGGCCATTATGATTTAAATCAAACTTGCAGGATGATAAAGTTGTTCACAAACGAAAGTGTACACGGCCGATGTAGACCAAAAGATCATATCTATATTAAAAATTTACAGCGCGCCTTGTTTCATTTGCATATTTAACCATTGAAAAAGTAATCCAACAGTCAAAACATAATACAATACTCATAAATTTTTTAAGAGGTCTCACCGTAAAAAAAACATTTTAACTTATACGAACTTTAATTGAGCTTATTTTAAGGCCATTATGATTTAAATCAAACTTGCAGGATGATAAAGTTGTTCACAAACGAAAGTGCACACAACCGATATAGACCAAAAGGTCTTTTTAGTTTAGCAACAAAAGCTAGGACCATTTCCTATACTAATACTAATACTAATTATATATTTGACATTAAAAAGTGGGATAATAATAAAATTAATATATTATTTTTATTTGTACTTAATGTTTAACACTATTTTAAATGTTAAATCTACTTTTTATCATAATTATTAGGGTCTGTTCAATTTGAGGGTTCAAATCATAGCGGTTTAAACCGTGTAGGTTTTAAACTTGGGGTTCAACCATGAATCTTTGGGTTTGAATCATGTGAGTTTGAACCAAGAGTTCAAACTGGCCAAAACTAAGGAGATGGTTGGTTTTATTTTTTAGGTTCAACTAAATTAAAACATCATATCATGGTTCAAATTAGGTATGAATCAAACATAGATTTTGTTCAGGTAGGTTCAAACCACTTTTTTTGTTTTTACAAACAAACACTGGTTTGAATTATAAACTTTGTTCAAACCAGCAAAACCCTCGTACAAAACATAACATAAGGGCTCGTTTGAAAGGTATACTCAAACCATAATTATTGATTCTAGCATTTAAAATTAAAATTTTTTGCGAGAGAAAAACACTATAGTAGAATCAATAATTTGAGTTGGAGTATATGAAACAAACGAGCCTTAAGTTTTGAAAATTATAAAAGTAAAATTTTAATTTCAAAATAATTTGAAAATGTAAATGTTGCAATGATTGTATAAAAGGGGTAAACATATTAACCAATAGTAATTAAATGTCAAATTTATCCTATGCTATATTTGGTAGTAAATTTGTTACAACGTATAATATATGGTAAATTTAATACAACAAACGGCTCTTTAAAGAGTGTTTTTTATACTCAAATGTGAAATTTGTTATTGACACAATAATTATAGTATTCCATTGAAAATACCTTAAGAACGATAATTTCTCCACATACAACTTCTGACAGAGTTTGGGGTGGGGATGAAGACAACTTTTGGTTCGCAAATTGGGATCGAAACAAGGAACACTCTCCACACTATTCCGACCCAATTTACATATTTAAGAAGAAGGAAATACATATTTGTTATTACAAATTTGGTTCTTATGATAACATTCAATTTAGATTAAATTTATGACTAATTCCAATGGGAATGTTTTGTTGCATGGTGGGAATTAAAGGCAGATGTACCTCAACGAGATTTCCCATCACCGTCCTCGCCTCTCTTTAAGAGAGGATAGGAACGAATTTGTAAGATGGAAATAAGGATGAAAAAACATTCTCTAGTCCCGTCTCGTTCCATTACCACTTTAATTGGAATTCTAAATTCAAGCCTACATAGTTTTTCTTAAAAAAAAAAAAAAAAAGTCAAGCCAATAATTTTATCCTAAAAACCGCACAACTTTGCTCTCCAAGTTCTTAGATCATCTTCAATACATATGCCAGTAGAATATTTGCTACTAAAAAGTGTAAAAAGAGCATATTTGATGTGCTATTTTATTTTGTACTCCAATATGTGATCCTATGTCTACATTTTGTTGTTAAGCCTCAAAAGTTATAAAAATAAACTTTAATATTAAAATAATTTAAAAGTGACAATAGTATAATGATGAAAAGAAAAAATAAATGTATCAACTAATCACAATTAAATGTTAAATTTATCGTACACTAAACTTGATGGTAAAATTACCACTAAGTTTAGCATATGACAAATTTAACACGACAAATAATATTATATTAGAGAGTGTATTTATACTCAAATGCTATAGTTACTATTGACACTTTAATTATAGCAATGCATTAGAGATGCTCATAGACAAACAAACTCATATTATTATTGTTTGTCTCAAACTTTAATATCATTGTTTTTATTTTTGTTATATTTTTGTGCGATCCCTTATCAGGTCTATAGCATTTAAGAGTAAGATCTAACAGATTTTAGGTTGGCTAAGATCAACATTGAAAACACTTGTAAATTTAAACGTTAGAACTTGGAAACTTCCCTACTCAGCAGAAAAACGACATCTTTGTTTACAGGATATTATTCCACCAGTTCATAATTTTAAAATCCGTTACCGCCAATTATTTCGCACAAAGTAGTTGATTACCCGGGCCGGGTGATTAACCCGACCCGTTTATAGAGACCGTCGTCTTCGTAATAGTAGTCACTGTAGAGAGTTATCCACAACAGAACAACCCCACGTGTCTTTCCTTAAGCTGCTCTAGAAAACCTCAATCCCTCTTCTCCATTTTCCCCTGTAATTTTCTCGAGAAAATCGGATAGAAAATTTTCAGCTCAGAACAACACCAAGCTGCGGGAACTTCTGCTATATTTACTTCTCCTTCTGCTGTTTCTCTCAATCTCGAATTTATTCGGAGAAGTAGAACAAGGAAAGCAAAGATTTTTCCAAATGCTTAAACTCTCGTAATATTTCTCTGCAAATTTCCGTCAAAATCTTGAGTTAGAGAAAGCTCATGCGAGCGAAAACAGTGAAAAATGACACTCGCGGCGGCCTCAATGTCCATCCCCAGCGCTTCGCCTCTCCCGGCCACGCTCGTGAAACCGAGCCCTTTGCCTCACCGGCTGTCGTTTCTCACGAGGACGTCCGATTCGTTGGAGCAGAAGAGGTTTCTCTCCTCTGATCGCCGGAGAGAAAAGCTTCTAACTTTTCTCTCCGGCGAACGGAGGTCCTTCTCGGTGAGGGCGAAGCCGAAGGAAGTCATCCTCGGGAACCCGGCGGTGACGGTCGAGAAGGGGAAGTACAGCTACGACGTCGAAACCCTAATCAACAAGCTCAGCAGCCTCCCTCCCCGGGGAAGCATCGCGCGGTGCCTCGACATCTTCAAGAACAAGCTCTCGCTCAACGACTTCGCTCTGGTCTTCAAGGAGTTTGCGCAGCGCGGCGACTGGCAGAGATCGCTCAGGCTCTTCAAGTATATGCAGAGGCAGATTTGGTGTAAACCTAACGAGCATATCTACACAATCATGATCAGTTTGCTTGGCCGCGAAGGTTTGCTCGACAAGTCCGCCGAGATATTCGACGAAATGCCGAGCCAAGGCGTGGTACGTAGCGTTTTCTCTTACACTGCTTTGATCAATGCCTATGGTCGTAACGGTCAATACGAGACTTCACTTCAACTTCTTGATAGGATGAAGAAAGACAAGGTTTCTCCTAATATATTGACTTATAATACTGTGATTAATGCCTGTGCTAGAGGTGGTTTGGATTGGGAAGGATTGTTGGGTTTGTTTGCTGAAATGAGGCATGAAGGTATACAACCTGATCTAGTAACTTATAACACTTTGCTTGGGGCTTGTGCCAACAGAGGTTTAGGTGATGAGGCAGAGATGGTGTTTAGGACTATGAATGAGGGCGGGATAGTTCCTGATATAACCACTTATAGTTGTCTTGTTGAGACTTTTGGGAAGTTGGGTAAGCTTGAGAAAGTTTCCGAGTTGCTTAAGGAGATGGAATCCAGAGGGAATTTGCCCGATATAACGTCATATAATGTGTTGTTAGAGGCTTATGCAGAATCCGGGTCGATAAGTGAGGCGGTGGGTGTGTTTAGGCAGATGCAAACAGCAGGGTGCTTGCCAAATGCTAATACGTATAGTATTTTGTTAAATTTGTATGGGAAGCAGGGGAGGTATGAGGATGTTCGTGAGCTTTTTCTTGAGATGAAAGTAAGCAATACGGAGCCGGATGCAGCTACTTATAACATTCTCATCCAGGTGTTTGGTGAAGGTGGGTACTTTAAGGAGGTGGTTACTTTGTTTCATGATATGGTGGAAGAGAATGTAGAGCCGAATATGGAGACATATGAGGGGTTAATAATTGCTTGCGGGAAGGGGGGGCTCCATGGGGATGCCAAGATCATTTTAAATCACATGAATGAGAAAGGGATAGTGCCGAGTTCAAAAGTTTATACGGGGGTCATTGAAGCCTATGGGCAAGCTGCATTGTATGAAGAAGCTCTTGTTGCCTTCAACACAATGAATGAAGTGGGAAGCAGGCCATCTGTCGAAACTTACAACTCTCTCATTCATGCATTTTCACGAGGTGGACTTTACAAGGAGGCTGAAGCAATACTCCAGAGAATGGGTAATTCTGCTGTTGCAAGGAATGTCGACTTGTTCAATAGTCTTATTGAGGCTTTTAGGCAAGGGGGTCAGATCGAAGAAGCTGTAAAGGCATATATTGAAATGGGAAAGTCAAGATGCGATCCAGATGAGCGGACACTTGAGGCACTCTTGAGTGTCTACTGCTTTGCAGGTCTTGTTGATGAGTGTGAGGAGCACTTCAAAGAGATAAAAGCTTCAGGAATATTGCCTAGTGTCATGTGCTATTGCACGATGCTTGCTGTATATGCAAGATGTGACAGGTAAGTATCTAATAAAAATTATTCTATAGTTTTTGTTGCTTAAAGGTAAAGGAATATTAGAATCCCACATTAACCGGAGATATTGGCATGATCCACTTAATAAAGTGAGGGCAATCCTCCCTTAGCAAGCCAATTTTGCTAGGTTGAGTTAGGCCTAATATCCTTTGATTTCTGTAAAATGGTATCAGAGCAGGCCCAGTTTTGCAATGTTGGGTCCCCCAATATCGACTTATTCGCAGCGGTTTGGCATTGTCCACGCTGTGCGTGAGGGGGCGTATTAGAATCCCACATTGGCTGGAGATATTGGTATGATCCACTTAATAAGGTGAGGGCAATCCTCCCCTAACAAGCCGGTTTGCTAGTTTAGCAAAATAATAATATATAGTAATTGCATTCCGTGTATGATCTAGTTCCATTTATTAGCTGTTGTCTACAGGTGTTGCTACGTACAATTTGAACAAGTTTAAAGAGACTACTAAAATAGCTTGAAATATGCATCTTCTCTATCTTTGGAAAAAATAGGGGAATATATATCACTGTGTACGCTGGAGGTTGTCTTTTTTTTTTTTATACTACACAGGATCGATCGCACCCTTCCCCAAACCTTATTCTACCCAAACCCCCCGGTGCCACTAGATAGGTGGCACCGTGTGAGGTAGAGTTGTGGATAATTATACGGGAAGTTGAGAGGTCAAGACATGCGACGAATGTTATGGAACTTTTTCCTGCAGGTGTTGAGATAGTTTATCGTTTATCCTTGAAGATGTGTATCAATATCATGTAGAAAAACAATTGGCCGGAAAGCGTGCAAGACAAACCTCTGGAGCCTTTAATGTAGACTGAGTCACTGAGTTAACCTTCCTTTTCATGTAGCAATGGTTGTTTTCTTGGGGATGTTTTATATAACTCTTAAATGCGTTCCAAACGATGTGGATGTCAGAAATTATTGATTTTTGGATTTTTGCATTTGTTACAGAATGTAGTTTTTATGATGTTTTTCTGATTTCGTGCTTCTTTTTTTTTTTTTGATAAGCAGAATTTGACAAATTTGATATAGTCAGCTAAACACTCAAGACTCTTGTTTCCAGGTGGGATGACGCCTTTAAGTTACTGGATGAGATGCTTAAGAATAAGGCTTCAAATATTCATCAAGTGATTGCCCAGATGATTAAGGGAGATTATGATGATGGTACTAACTGGCAGATGGTGGAGTATGTCTTTGACAAACTGAATTCTGAAGGATGTGGACTGGGAATAAGGTTCTATAATACACTTTTAGAAGCGCTTTGGTGGATGGGTCAGAAAGAACGAGCTGTGCGAGTGCTAAATGAAGCAACAAAGCGGGGACTCTTTCCAGAACTTTTCCGCAGAAATAAGCTTGTTTGGTCTATTGACGTGCACAGGTATTAAGAGAACTTTTCTCTTCCAAGTAGTCTTATTTTCACTAAAGACCACGAAATGTTGATTTTATAACTGCATTGCAGGATGTGGGAAGGCGGTGCCTGTACAGCAATTTCAGTTTGGCTAAATGATATGTTTGGGATGTTCAAGAATGGGGACGATCTTCCTCATGTTGCAACTGTTGTTGTAGTGTAAGCTGTTTTCCTCTGTTTTCAATTTTTCAATTGCTCTTCTTTTTTTTTTTTTTTTTTTTTTTTTTTTAAGTGTAACCAAATCTGTTACCGCTCCAATGAGCTAATTGGCCAAGGGTTTGCAAGCTTTGCTAAGCTAGAATGGTTCCGGAAAGATACTTTATCTTTATTTGGACAAAGCCCTTAATCTCAATTCCTCGCGATTGGGACATTAAATACTCCTTTTTTATCTACTCCTATGAATTGATGGCACGGATTTTATGCTTTACCATCGTGACTGTTTTAACTGCCTCGATCCATTAGTCTGTAATGTTGCATGCTTGCAGCTTATGAGTTCAATACAATTATTGGCGTTTTCTTCTTTGTGGAGCATCTTTATTATGAGTATACAAAATTATTAATTGAAATTTGGACCTAGGAGAATATACACAGGGCCAGGCTTGAACTGGTTATAGGCTCATAGCGCAGCGAAACTTGATAATACTCGTTCATCCTAAGTTAGTTAAAGTATGATCCTTTTTAAACCTAGTCGCTATTTTATCTGTTGCCATTGATGTGAAAAGGTTCAAGTTTTGTTACGATATAAAGTTCTTCCGAGAAAGAAAAACTAGATTTGGGTGTTTCTAATATCTATTATAGTTGTATAGTTTTCGTACATGATGATAATATGCATAATTTTCAAATCCTTTCTCATTTGTTTTGTGTTATCAGACGGGGGAAAATGGAGAGAAGCCCAAGCGCACAGGAAACGCCCATTGCAAAGGCTTCATATTCATTTCTGCAGGAAAACATGTTCTCATCCTTTGGTTTCCCGACCTGGAACAAGGGCAGAATTGTCTGCCAGCGTTCTCAGCTTAAACAGGTTCTCTCTGGCATAGAATCATCATCAGAGAAATCCAAGAAGGATAAAATAATTACTTTAAGTAACTCCCCTGTTCCTGGAACCAAAATGCCTACCAATGTTATGCAGAGTTCGCGATACAATAATTCCAACTCCGACGCAGTAACTGGGACAAGAGCGGAGCTTTTGACAAGCACGGTTTAACCAATAGCGGAGGGCCCAAAATGTTCGCTTCCGCACATTTTTTTAAATCTCAAATGCAATGCCTGAGGACCATTCAACATTCTCCTATCTGATGTTTCCACTTGGTCAAACACGAACCTCAAAATTGATCGAACAAGCAAGACATTTCTTTCGAATTGTGCCTGCTTAAAGTCCAGCTTGCCCCAGTCTAGCTGATTCAATGACGATACCGTTCTTGCCCCAGAATAGCAGTTAGGACAGTCCTCTGAGGAAGCGGATTGTAATTTTTGTAGCTTTAGATCATTCTTTTTTTTTTCTTCAAAATGTATATGTACATTACACTCTTCGCATTTTGATCTTTTTGGAAAGTTATTTGTGGCAGTTGTCCAAAATATACTGATTGTTCTACATGCTTTTACATGAAAAATCTACAAGGATCTTGACAAAAACAAAATTTTTCCTGTGGTCTTATCTGCTGCGGGATGTTCATTACCAAATAATTGATAGTCCACTATGATGTGTCTCGTCACCAGAATTCCCTGTAACGTTTTGTAGGTCTGCCACTAAAGAAATCTGTTTTTTGTAAATACATTTTGTGGAAATCCTGCAGATTGTTTATGTTTTTAACAGGTTGGAATTTTGTCAATCATTAATATGCTAATTACGCTTAGGAGGATATTTTTATACCTAATATTAAGAGAGAGAGGGATATATTAAGAATTATGTGGACTGAAATAGTTAAGAAAGACATTTTAAATCTAAGTCTTTAGAAAAATTTAATTTTGAACATAACTACGTGAAAAAGTGAAATTTATATAGTCGATTCCAATTAAGTTGGAATTAAGACTTCTTATTGTTATTGTATTGATATGCTAATTACTTCATGTGATCGATTGTAAGTTAAAGGAATATGCTTAGAATATATATATATATATATATGTATGTATGTATATTTATCAAATCAAATCAACTATTTTTCCCGAATTCTTCAGTAGCTGCTGGGCGTCACTATGTCGTTTGCCAATCAGCTAGTGGCAGCCATGCTTTGCTCCATTAAAGCTCTTGTCGGGGCATTTTTGATCTAGTTATCATATCACCACTTTAACAAAAGAAAGAAACAGAAGAAATAATTCGGCTGCTTTGGCCACTTAATGGAGTTCGAAAACAGAAGCTTTTTTTGCAGTCAACTTGTTAAGAGTAGTAGGGAAAAGCCCAAGAGCCATTATAAACTGTAAACTAATCATGCAGCAATAATACCCCCACAAAAAATTTAAACGTGTAAAACCTTCTAAAAGAAGATGAGTAAAACATTAATATAAAATTATAGAGAAAGAATCTCCATATGTAAAATGGCATGGATGTGTTCACCTACTTTACAGGCTTTCGGTGTGTTCTTTTGGTTATTTTAACTTAACAGACAACTATGCAGACAACTACACAAGATGAGAGAGAAAAGAGGGGGGGAAAAAAAGACATTGTTTTGATGGGCAAAACCGCAAAAAGTAACTTGGGGGAAAGTTAAATTCAAAAGGGAAGGTTGGATGAGCTCGTGAGCATATAAAATATGGATAATTGTAGGATAAGGAGGGAAAAAAAAAAAAAAAAAAGCCCTAATAGATGGGTGTAGTTCTAGACCCGTTAGATTTTTTTTTTTTTTTTTTTTTTTTTTTTTTTTTTTTTTTTCAAGTTCTGTTAAATAAATATGCTTTTGTGTCGATTTCGAACCGTGTAAGATTTTTCTCAAGTTCCACTAAGAAAAAGAACTTACCATAGAATGGTTCACGATGTGTTGTATTCTATAAAATTGAGAATTATAGGGTAAGGTATGAAAGAATATTCTATAAGTAGAGATTCTGATAGTGACAGTTTTTCATTTTTTTTTAGTGTTAAAATGTATATTGATATGATCTAGCGTTAAAAAACAAGCGTTACTGATAGAGATACATTATAGTAGGAAAGCTCCAAAATATGAAACTTACATTTTCAATTTTCTAGATAGGTTAAATAGCTCTTTCCTTTTATTACAGAAATGATGAAAGTTATTGACTTTATGAGGACAAGGTTATCGAAAGGTGGATAGTATTTGCATTTTAGTAGGTTTTTATAGTCAATAATTAGCTTTTAGATCTATCCATGAAGTTAAGGGGGACCATGAAGAAAGCAAAGAAGTAAAATTGATTACAAAGAAAACAAGAGGAAAACAAAGTGGTTACCCACAGAAATGAATTAAAAAAAAATGCAAATCATATGTATAATATTGTAATATATAGATATAGATATATATATATAATATTCATATGTAATAGAAATGTCATCAACGCACAACTACAGTTACTTCATGATCTTCATTGAATTCCAACCGCTAACCTCCTTGACAAAGTATTCAAGTTGCTGATCTCTAATAGCCCACTATTTTTCAACTAATTAAATTTAATTTTCCTTAAAATATGAGCACTACAGAGTATGCACGAATCTTGTCTGTTCTTTTTATTTTTTATTTTTTGAAAAAGATTAAACTAATGCATCAAATTATTATAATTTGGATTCGTTCAATGATGTTACATGGTTCGATCTCTCTCTCTTTTTGTTTGTTTTTTTTTTTGGGGGTTTTTTTTTTTGCCTTGCTTATGTGACATATGTACATTTTGTTTCCATACAATAATATTGTTACGTCTTTAAGAACTTAATTCTGTATATCACAAGTAAACCTTTATCATTTACTTTTAATAATTGTATCTGCTTTTATCTCAATATTATTCCACATTTTCGTTGCCTGAATCATCAATTATTTGGTAGCGTGATAAGGTTATATGCCGTCACGATAAAATCTAAGATTCAAATTAATCCTACTTTATTTGATCGATTAAATGAGCAATCTATTTCATCATTTCGTGAAGAATCTATATGAATGTGAGGTTCTTTAATTATTTGCCGAGAATGATCTAGAATTGCAACTAACTCCATATCTTAATTTCTAATAATTCTCACCGAAAAAAAGAAACGTGTTCATTTGTATGGATAAAGATGGCTTTACATTTTCTCTAATTATTTTCATGAAAAAATTGTGCTCATTGCATGAATAAGATGGCTTACATTTTTAACCCTCTGGGATATGTCCCTCCCGTTTTCTTTGAGACTAAGGAAAATGCTTGGAATATAAGCATCACAAAGATGCATAAGATTCATAGGATAAAGAAGCGGAAAAGAAAATATTGTCGGATCACATGCTCAAAAAACGCAAAATCCTTCACAAAAAGCAAGAAGGAGAGAGAGAGAGAGAGAGAGAGAGAGAGAGAGAGAAGGGGGTTGAACAGTAAAAAGGGAAAAGTGAAAGAAACCACGCATGTTGTCTAACACCATATATTAAAGTCAATTTTGATGGCCGAGTTTGAGACAATTTCTTCCATTGGAAGTGCATTCTTTGATGGGATCTCGCACTTGCATCATGAACTACTTTCAATTTTCTCGTACTCATACACGCAATATTTTTATTATTATTATTATTATAAAAAGACATAAACCAATACAAAATCTCCATGCAAAGAAATGGAATTAGAATTCAACATGGAATTAATCGAATATTCATCATGTAAGACACTAAAAAATATATCATGATTCTGTGTCCCACGTAGTCTGAAATAGTTGTGCAACAATTTCTTCTATTTGCAAAATATTCTCAAGCCCAATCAAAGTAGTAGTATACTGTATACATATACACACACACATATATGTATATATATTTAATACTTTTGCTATGGTCTTCCTCGTAACTTTCATATGAGATGTAAAATGATATTTATTTAACACAATAAATGTAACAATTACGTTGCAAAATGTAATACCAAAACATTTAGTTATCCAAAACTAGTGTTACACCTCTATATGGAAGTACCACAGGCAAATCTAAATGTATACATAGTAGATTACGAAAAAAGAAAAAAGGTAATTGCAGTCAAGATATTAATGTGAAGAAAGAAAAACAAAACAAAACAAAATGCGCGGTGGAGACAAATTACATATGATCTGATTCTCTCAAGCTGCAAGTGTTGGTACATATTGTCTTTTCATGGATCCAAAGAATCTAGACTCTCAAAAAAAAAAAAAAAAATCTTGATCCAATTATCTCTGCCGTTTTTCTTGAAAGCAAAGAGAATCCTTTTTGATATGGTGTTCCTAAGAGTATGTTTGGTACGATGGAGAGATGGAGGGAGGGAGAAAGACGGAAGAAGAGGCTCAATCTCTTAGGGGATATTTGGTTAGAGGATTCAAACTATGATTTGAATCATGGTTCATGGTTCGTTACAGTGTTTTCTCTCACAAAAAATACACGTAAATCAAAAATAATTCTAATCACATGATTTTAATTCATGAACCAAACGTCTCCTTAGTTGGAGGGAGATGAGGAAGGAGACTCTATCCATCTGGGCTCACCAATTTACATCCTTCCACTAATGGAAGGATCTATGTGATCTTTACGTTAAAGATTTGAAAAAGCTATTTTATTCTTAAAAAGTTTAATATGAAATTAATAAAAAAGACAATATAGTAATTAAACAAACATTTATTAATCAAATCTTTTAACTTTCTATCTCTTTTACCGAACAACATAAACCATTACCATAATCCTTTTCACTTCTCACACAGAGAGAGAGAGAGAGAGAGAGAGAGAGAGAGAGAGAGAGAGAGAGAGAGAGAGAGAGAGAGAGAATTATGATTAAGAAAAGGGTTGTATCCTTAAGAGTTTGAGCTAGTGCGGGACCAAACTTTTGTGTGTGCTTGATAAAAAAGGTTAAAAATGACTGAAGGATAGAGAAGTTCAAAGCCATGTGGTGGAACCCCACAAAACCTTATCTTGGTTTTATCTTTGCAGAAGGCAACATCCCACCATTGAAGGGTGTATAATGCAAATTAGTAGTACGGACAGATTGGGGAAGATAACATTAAAAAAAAATATCTACTGCCTTTCTGTTTAGTGGCACAAAGCGAATATGCTTATAAGCTGATGGTACATATACGTGCACCTTTCTAATTATTTTACAAGGAAAAAGTTTCTAGTAAAATATGCGGTAAGACACAATTTAAAAGAATTTTTTCCGGTAGAGATTAGATTGAAAATGTATGTAAAATAAATAGTTACTTATGCAGAGATAGTTTATTTTTTTTTTTAAATCCTATCATAGAAACTCTCTATTTTAAAACAGTTAAGGGCTAAATTTTTACTAAATCCATTAAATTTTCATCTATTTTTAATCTGACATAATTTTAATGTGATGTAACAGTTGCTACAAATATGAATGAGTATATTATTCAATACCATAAACTTCTCTTTTTTTTTTACTGCATCGGTTCGTTTACTGGTATGATAACTTAAGAAGGCCTTTAGTAATTTAAGAACAAAGGAAAATTTTGTTTTTAAATCTGTTAATAACTTATTTGGTGATTAACTAATTACAACTTTTCTTTTTAATTAATTATCCACTTGTTATTTTTGCTGAGACAAGTTGTTTTGACTATATTCATCTTAACGGATAAAGAAATGTTGAAGATAGGATATTGTATTAGTTAATTGCTGATTTGCTTTCCTGTGCATGTGCTATGGTCTTGATCATTTTAATTTTTAAGGACAGCAGGAACTGGTCGTTGAGTGGGGTTCATAAGAACTTGTCTGTACTTTTTTTTTTTTTTTTTTTTTTCGGTTTTTTTTTTCATTTCTCTCAAATCTACGTACAAGTTCATGAGCATCCGAAGCTCTGTCCTATCTTTCCATAATATGAAATGGACGGATTGGCATTGTGCCCTTCACCCTTTTGAATCTTAACCCCTGGCCCTCAACAAAAAGTAGATAGAATTAGGGTTTTAGGAAATCGGCCTGCACTGAGGAAGCCAAATTAGGTGATACCTAATCGATAAACATTAGTCGACATTTTTTATGTCGATCAATTTACCGGTTAAATTGAACAACCTTGATCTAATTAGAACGGACAAAATACTAATAAATTGAGACGATCCTAACTAAGTAGTCGTCACTTAAACTCACTAAGCATGTAAATGCTTAAAATAATTAAAATTAATTATCCTGAATTAGTGATTTTTTTTTTGTACATGTATACATACTTAATGAAATATAAATCATAATAAAGTTTAACTTAATTAATATACTTATGAGTTTCCCAAAACTTAAGTTAGTTTAAGTCTCATTAACCATACCACATACACATAGATAAAAGTCATATCATAACAAAACATAGTATAGAATTTAATGCGAGCAGTATCCACTCCTCAATCAAGGTAAATTGGTACCAATACTTGACTTAAGAACCTTATAAGGAGAGAGGTCTTGGGTTCAAGTGTTGAGGGACGTGAAGAAATCCTTAAGGGCCGCTAGGAGCCCAGAAGAGATAACTCGTATGAGTAATGAGTATAAGACCCGGATATGCTGGGGTTCCGCAAGTTAAACCCAATAAGGGTTGAGGTGTTACACAAATTGCATCATATGATCCAATAAAATAATTTAGAGATCAATTTCCAAAAAAAAAAAAAAAAAAAAAAAAAATCTTACAAGTTAAAATGTTCTCCCATTCATGATCGTCTCTTGTAGTCGTGAATAATTCTTATACAAATTCATGTGAATATAGACATGATACGAATGGAAAATTCCATAATCCTGATAGCATGTCCTATACGTCATTATAAACGACATCGTTAATCCTTGTATAGGAATAATGAGGGCCGTTTTGTTATAAAGTAAATTCTCTGTCTCGTAATCAATAAGCTATATTTCAATTCCTTAGTTGTAGACCATGACTGAATAGCATTGTCATCTCTTAGGCTTGTCCTGATTTATATGATTGTTGCATATGGCCTAATTTTAAAGTCAAATGGAATGTCTAACATCTCTCTCCTTTGCTACCAAAGATAGCAAATTAGTTGTCATATTACCTAGTCAGACTTCATTATGATATTTTTCCACTATTTAGGAATATACTTTACCCAAATATGGTATAAAATACTACTATGAAGTGTACAACAACTAAATATAGACCTCTTAATTTTGTCACACAAACAGCCTCATAAATTCATATTTGATGTGGCAACTTTATTCCTTTGTAGGTAAATAATCTAGGCATATTATCAAATAATAATAATAATAATAATAGTAGGCCTATTATTGTCTTGACGATTAGACCAAGTCAATTATACATCTCATATAGGTTCCAACAACTCCAATTATCTGATTAGAAAAAAAAAAAAAAAAAAAAACTCCAATTATCTTCTTTCTCACCCAAGGGGGAAAAAAACCCCCTCCAATTATCTTCCCATTTTCTTTCTTTTTAAAATAATTTTCTTTCTTTCTTGCCGATGCTAAATTAGGCGAGGATATAAATAACATCCAATTTTAAAATCCAATATTGCCCCTCAATCCAATTAGATTTTTGTTAACTTCCTTTTTTTTTTTTGAAATCCTAATCTCAATAACAAAGTAAACTAAAGAGAAATCAATCATTTTGAAATCAGAAAAATAGATATGGGCTTGATTTTAATATTTTATTTTCGGAGAAATGTAAAGTATAATATTCTTTTGAACTGTAAAAATTAATAATTTTTTGGTTATTGCAACCTGTAATTTCTTCTTTTTTTTTTTCCTATTTTTATCTCCCTTCCTTAAAAAGCGACATCAACAAAATCCAACAAAAAATCCAATTTAATACTCGTGTATTAAAGATCGGGAAAGAAGATTTGATAACCATACAACGCGAAATGCAAAATGAGCCAGATAACCCAACCAGATAACGACACGTGTTTTCCGCAGACAAACGACTCTCTCTCGACTTTCCGTAACCTCCACCACCTATAAATATGCGTGCCATCCGTCTCTCTCTCTTTCTCTCTCTCTGTGTGACGCACGCGCGAGTTTCTCTTCTTCTTCTTCTCTCACCGCATCATCGGTTTCTCTCTCCGATCGTACGGCCTCGGAGATCTTCGATAGCCGATCGTCGATAGACCCGTTCATTCCGACGAAGATGTCGCTCACGTGCTCCTCAAAGAACGATCCTCCTGTCGCCCTCGCCGGAGGTGAAGATTCCGGCGTCGGGGAGTTCATGCTGTTCGGCGTTAGAGTGGTGGTGGATTCCATGAGGAAGAGTGTGAGTCTGAACAATCTCTCGCAGTACGAACAGCCTCAGGAGAGCGCCATTAACAACAGCCCTAACACTAACAACAACAATACCGGCAACGGCAAAGACGACGTCGCTCCGGGATATACCTCCGAGAACGACGTCGTTCACAACTCCGGCGGGAACCGCGAGCGCGAGCGCAGACGAGGTCAGAATCAGATCTTTAACGGAATATCGATTTAATTGGTGATTAAATTAATCAGAATAATGCGTTTTTATGATTTCTAAGGTCTTGCATGATTTTATTTTTATTTTTATTTTTTTGGGGGGAGAAGTTTGAGAAAAATCGTAGTTTATTATTATTATTATTATTTTTTATCTCTAAGTTTGTGGATTGACGATTAGGAATTCCATGGACGGAAGAAGAACACAAGCTGTTTCTGCTGGGACTCCAGAAGGTTGGGAAAGGCGATTGGAGAGGAATCTCTAGAAACTTCGTCAAGACTCGGACGCCGACGCAGGTCGCTAGCCACGCGCAGAAGTACTTTCTTCGCCGGAACAATCACAATCGCCGTCGCCGCAGATCTAGCCTCTTTGATATCACCACTGATACGGTGATAACCGCATCCGATTTTCCTTCTCTAATTTATTTTTCTTTAAACTTTATTAATTTGTTTCGTTCCTGAGAAAATGGGGGATACTTGAAGTAGTAAATTTGAAAGTCCTTTGTTTCTTTCTTTTCTTTTTTATTTTTTTTCCTCTAAAAAGGAAATTAAATCCGTATTAGACTTGTCTATTGAGGTCAACTTAGTGGGGGATTTTAGTTTTCTAAGGTCTAATAGTTTGATTTGAAACTTTGAAGTTTTTCTTTATCCTATTCTGAACTTAGAAAGATAACAAGATAATCTATTGCCTATATCTATTGCTTTGGCTAGTGTTATAGTTTTGCCTGTTCAGAAAATCTAGGAAAATAAGCCTGTTTGGTTGGAGGATTTATTTTCTGATTCGAATCATAGTTTATGGTTTGTTACAGTATTTTCTCTCACAAAAAATACACGTAAATTAAAAATAATTTTAATTTCATGGTTCTAATCTATGAACCAAACTAGCAGATCTAGACTCTAGAGCATCTAGCACTTTGGGTCTGTGTTATCAAAATGTTCAATTTTCTTTTTTTTTTCTGCATTTTCTCAATAACCAAAGAGAAAACACAAAAGAACAGAAATAGAACAAGAATAGTAATAAAACCAACTCATTCTGACAAGAGACAACCTTATTTTCTTCGCATTAGGTTGCGGCAATTCCAATGGAAGAAGACCAAGCGGTGCATCATCAGGAGAATGTCTCTCAGTCACATCCGCTGCCGCTGTCACCCGAACCTTGCAATCCCGGTGGCTTCTCTCTAGTGCCAACTTGTCCAGTGAGTACTGTCGGCTCTTCAGTATTACCAACCCCAGTTGAGAATCCAATGGAAAAGTTGACATTAGGACAGACAAATCCAGAGACTACTTCATCGCCTAAGCTCGTCCGTCCAATTGCTCTGCTCTCAATACCACATGGTACTGCTACAGCGGATCTTAGCCTGAATTTGAAGTCAGCAATCGATCCATCCGCTCTATCCCTCAAGCTATCATTGCCGTCCGATCCAAGGGAATCATCGTCGGCAAGGCACTCGGCTTTCCAGTCAATGTCAAGCTTCAACAATGGGGATAGCATCATCACTGTTGCTTAATAGTAAGTTAACGAGAAAGCGGGCTCGTAATCTGGAGTTAAAAATATGTTTATGCCAAAAATGACAATGGATTAGAAGAAGATGAAGAAAGACAAAGATAAAATTAATTAGGGTGACTTTGAATTCGATCCCTGTCGTTCGTTGTACAGACTCTTAAGATAATGTTTATGTCCCGTTCTTGTTGTTTTGTGGTATTTGATGTTAGATTCTCTACTGTTCCTTTTGCTGTTTATGTCAGTAGCTGATATAACTGAAAATAACAGGTGACCCTGTTCATTAATGGTGTGGTGGGTTCGCTCTGAAACTTACTAGTGGCTTCAATAGCTTTATGAGCAAAAAAATATCAAGTTTGGGATTTTGGTGGAGATTCCATTATTCTTTTTTCTTTGATGGGCGAGTTTATGATTAGCTTTTGGTTGTTTTATTAACATTAAGCTTGTTCATTTGCACTTAAATTCAAAAAAAATTTGAACTCAAATTACAATTTTATTCAAATTTTTATAAAATTTGAGTTTGAATTTAAATTTGAGGTTAAAATCTGAATTCAAGTTTTTCCTATAATTCAAGTTTCTAAACTCAAACTCATGTTAATGAACAGTATTTTTTTTATTCTTAAAAACGTCATAATTGTTTCGTTTTAATTTCGATTGAATTTTTTTTTCTACGCATTCACAACAAAGAGATGAATAAAATCTTACTCATATATTCTATTAAAATTTTCTATCTTTATTGAGTTTTTATTAAAATACTATCTAAATATAAATTCAAGTTTTGATCCATCTAAAAACAAATTCAAATAGATTTTTAATTTAAACAATGACTCAAAATGTGCACATCGAAACACAAACTCAAATTAGAGTTTCAACTTAAACCATTCTCAAATACACCTTAACTTAAATCAAGATTTGAATTAAGTCACCTTAACTCAAAAAATTACAAATGAACAAGCGCACATATATATATATATATATATATATATTGTTTAATACAAGAAATGTACGTTTATCTCTTTAGAGCTTGTATTGGTAATGGTTTGGCTCTTTGTTCCATTTTGGGTAAGGTGAAGTTGAATATTGGCTAGTGACGATGCTTTGCAAGTTATTGTTAGGTTTAAGAATTAAAGAACTGATTTTGGGTTGGGAAGGTCATAACATTACTAACAAAGTCTAGCCAAGAAAACCCACTATAGTGCACGAGTGTTTTAAATAATTATTTCCAGTTTCGGAAGTGGTGATATTCGGTTCCTTCAAGCTCGCGGTATTCTTTTTGTTTATTAGGCTTTTAATTAAGCTTTTGTGATACTTTTTTAATTAATTATAATTATTTCATTGTCAGTCATCGTCACCATCTCTCCCCGCGCAATTTTTAACTCCGAGGCAAAACTTGGGCCATTCAACAAAAATAAAAAAAGAAAATGATGTGCCATTTCTGAACTGGTCAATCGGATTGGGACCCCAATTGCACTTTAATATTCTGGTTTTCTTTCGTATGAATTCATTGTGGGTAAAGGGTGGTTTTAGACCATTTAATCTGAATTTTTGGTCATAAGAGGAATTACATTTAATCATATATATATATATTGTTTTTAAGGATATATGTGTGTACTTTGTATGTGTATTAGAAGCTTCCTCTGAATGTCACTTGAGTTAGACCTTACAGAGACTCACCAAGTCAATTTTCCTTTCCCTTTTTTTTTTTTTTTTTCCCCTTAATCTACTCTTTTCCCTCTTTCTCCAAGTAAAATATTGTAGTTGACACGAATTTTTGGCCCTATTCCAAATTTCATCTCAATCAATGGAACTGTTTTACAGTTTAATTAAGGGTCCGTTTAGTTCAAGGATTCGTGACATGGTTTGAATCATGATTCGTGACTCGCTATAGTATTTTCTCTCACAAAAAACACACATAAATCAAGAATAATTATGAATTATAATTCTAAATCCATCAACTAAACGTCCTCTAAGTAATTAATTAAAATCTCACGCAAAATATATTTTGTTTTAAGAGATTTCTACAGTAGAATCTTAAAAAATGAACTATTGATAGGTTTTTTTTAGCCTGTCATATATGAATAAGAAATTATACGTTTTGCACTTTTTAATTTTAATATGGTTTTAACATAATTTAACGGTCATAAATGTACATTATTGATAGGAGGTCCTACCATAAAAGGATTTTTTTTTTTTTTAAAGATCTAGTGCTAAATGATTTAGAACTCAAAAGTTTGCACCGGAGATTAGTTAAATTGATGACAAGTTATTGAATTCTAAAACAAATCTATAGCTATATAGTAGATTATCCCATCTCGTAGAAAAGCGAAAAGGAGTAAGTAGGAAACGAGAAGCAATGAAAATTTGACATAGTTTAAAGTGGGAAAGAAAAAGATTGCATGTTAATGGAGTCTATGGATGGACACTCTTGAATGTATGCAATTATTTTTCAATAAAACTCAAGCTCTTGAAAAGATGATAAAATTATTTTGTTGTGTTTGCTTTTCTCTTAAAGTAAGCTTATTAGAATATCAAACATGTAAAGTAGGAGTGACCCTTGCTTTCCAAGCAAAATATAAATATAGCATTTATATGAACTAATTTCTCAATTAGGGTCTTCAATTCTTGAGCAACCTCCTTTTACTAAAGCAAAAGAGAGGACAAACTTTCTACATTGGCTAATCCTTTCCACCATCATTACTTGCAAAGTGGGGTTCTCATTTCACAACATAGAGAATCATGTTTTTCCTCAAAAGGATGTGATAGGAAAATATATCGACTCGTCTCAACTAACACAAGGAAATAATTGTAATTATTGAGATCCAATTAGGGTGTTTATATGGGCATCAGACAGGATGGACCATTACTATTAGTTTTTTTTTTTTTTTTTTTTTAAAGGGAAATTTCATTCAAATTAAGAAAGAAATATAATAGAGAATGTGAATGATCCTACAATACAAGGCATAATCCTCAATAGAGATCAAGTTATACTAATACAATCTGATAATGTTTAATGGGTAGTATGTATGTCAGAGACTTGAAAATGAGAATCATTTTGAGACACGAAGAATGAGATCATACAACACTCTTTACGACGATCTCAATAATCGAAAAAAGTATCCTATCAATTAACAACCATGACACTATAGTGCAAAGACCACTAAAGACACTCTTATTGGACACACAACTGCAATCGTAGGTTGAGGAGATAATCTCTGTTATTAAAAGACGAAAATGTCAAACACAACCAAAAAAAAAAAGAAAAAAAAAAACACCGACACAACGGAAATAACACGCGTTTATTTTACACAAAAAAAAAATCTACGACTAAGTGGAAAAAAAAAAAAAAAAAAACAAACCTTGTAAAAACCCACTGTGACAGTGACCTAGTTATTATCTCTAAAAATTCCTCCTAGACGCCAGAAAGTTACAACTCTCGGTTTCTTTTATTTTCTTTCTTTCTTTCTTCCCGCCCCGTTCTTTCTTTTGGTGCTAACTACAAGTGTTAGTTGATTACTCTTGATCCTAATAACCTGAAAGTTTATAGTACAGATTTCTTCACATAGAATTTGAATAAACAATCATGTTGAAGAAAGATTTCAAAATTCATTTATAATTCATTCAACATAATTTTTCAGCAGATGGGACCATCGGGGGTGGGATGTTGCTGGCAAAAGATCAGCCGTTCTTCAAAATTGGCTCTCAAAATTTGTGGGAGTAAAGGGAATAACAAAAAGCTCTCAGAAAATGTCACATCTAACTTTTTTACTACAGTGAAAAGCTCTCAGAAAATGTCACATCTCAGCTCGAATTGAAAATTCGAATCCACGAAGTGAACGAGACCTAAAAACACACAAGTCATAACTACCCTATTGATATGCTTCTCAAACCCCCAAAAGAGCTTTGGCAGGTGATGTTGTAGTTCAGACGTATTAGTGATTACCTTTTTGGGCATGAAGTTTATCTCTAGTAACAAATTATGTAACATAACACATGTTTACTTATTTATTGAGCATTTTGACACTTTAGTCTCCCGACAATTTATTTAATTCGGTATATTACCCTTGAATTTAACGGAATGGCGTAGAATGTACTTAAATCAACATATACTATTAAATTTGGATAAAAACACAGTCTATATATAATGTGAGCTCGTTTAAAGTAAAAAATTTCAATTTCGGATGGTGACAAAACATATCATGTGCATGAGGGTGTTTTTTTTTTTTTCTCCCAAATTTAACACCTTTCATCGATTTCAGAATATTCTGTAATATTTTATTTAATTTGCTATAATTAAAAGTTCCAAGATCTTGACGCCAAAAATCCTTGGTTTTTTTTTTTTTTTTTTTTTTTTTTTTTTTTTTTTTTTTTGTGGCTAAAAAAGACATTGCTAATGTAACCCTTGTGAAGTATGCTACTAAATTGACTCCTAAAGACAAACCGCCAAAAGCAGGTGTAACCCCCCAAAAATCTTTTTGGAATCTTATTGAGTGCATTAGGTAACCTTATCCCCAACCAAGATGCCATCTATCTCTTCAATAATTAGTGTTTTGATGAAGGAAGGCATTAATAGGGCTCAACAACATACACAAAAGAAAAGGAAAGGTAAGGGACTTAATTTGCAGCCAAAAGAGAGAGCGACAAATTATAAGCTATAAAGAATAAAGGAACCAGAGTTTTTAGGTAATACTGGTCAATATTTCCTATTATAAGCAAATATGATTTAGCAAGTTTAGTATATAGTCTAATACCAGACACAGTTGTGGACCAAACAGGAATAGGAGAACAAAAAAACACATGCACAAATACGTAGCAAACATGAAGAGAACTCGATTACTTCACTATATACATACTCCTTATCATTGAGAGACGAATATTTTTGTCAGCCCCGGCCCTCTGAGAACCCTTTTGGTGGGCGTATATATGCTAACGCTAGTCGCCCCTCCCCAGATATTTTTTCTTTTACCATAAAAAAAAAGCTACTTCACAAGGCGGCTTCAGGCTAGTTTGTCGTGTGAAGAAGTTTCTGAAATCACGAAGAGATCAGGTTTTTGGTTCTTCTCACGCACCTTCCTAATATAAGCAGATGCCCTGCCATCAACACTCATGTCTTCCTCGACAACATAAGAAGACCCTTTAACTCCATCCGGTTTGACAAGGTAAGTTTGGTTTGAGTTAGTCTGAGGCTTCTGAGCCCTCAACAAAGGCTTGGTTGAAACCATATTGAGAGTTTCTGTTGTGGGTTGGAAGTTTCTAGAAGCCACTGGATCTTCACCAGTTGTTCCAAGGCTTCTCTTAGCTATGGAGAAAGCTGATAGCCTAATCACATTTGCCACCACTTTCATTGACTTCTCAAAAAGAGACTCTTCAATCCTCTCTCTACTT